TATATATATATAAAACATCCCAAAACTAGGGCAAAAATAGTTACCGCAAAATGCGAGTGCTTAATAATGAGCCCTTTATTAATAATTTCCCCTAAATTGCAAATTTCTTTTTATTCGGAGATAATTTAACTCACTGGATACAAGGCAAAATCCATAAGTAATGATTTGTTCTTGTAGAATGAAATAATTATCGTCTAATTATTAGTTACTTATGAGAAACGCTCTCCAGTTATCAGATGTCAACAATCGGAGTTATTGGCGTTTATTTACGCAGTCAAGTTTAACCTATAGCACGACGAGCATAAGTTGTTATGGGCAAACTAGTTTGGAGAACAAAAAAAAAGCTTCTTTGAAAAAAATCTTGTTGTTAAGAATTCTAATTATATCCAAACAACAAGGATCACAGGCAAATATTTGCGTTTCTTTTGTTTGTTATCGAAGTTTTTTTAAAATATGTACATAGTCTTTGTTCTATTAATATTATTTTCATTAAAAATGGTTAATGGTAGCTCGTGTTCCTGTGTAATTTTGAACTGTATTCCTATGCTTTTGTTTTGGGAAGGCCAAGACCCACAAGCGAAGCCGCTTCTTCAATAGATCGCTCCCCATGTGAATGATATTGTTTTGTGATTTCGGCCACACGACGGCTGCTTTGCAGGTACACCGTAAACGTGTCAAGCCTGGAATTAAATTAACATAACAGAGAACACGCATTTAATTGATTTGTCACTCGAATGTACTACACATTGCAAAATCTGACTGTACAGAGCTGACAAAGTTGGTGCAAACAATCTCACACTCTGCAATCTGTGTGTACGTTTTAGTGTAATAAATCCTGCACTCATAAAAGTTAGCCGTACGGCAGGACCTTGTAAACGGTAACTATAACGGTAACGGTAACTATGCTACGTGATAAACTTATTCACATTTTTTTTTTTTTTTTACTTGACATGACGTTGATACCGGGAGAATATTTTTTCGCGAAGTTTGTTCTTACGAGTGTAGTATGTTCTGGCTGGGAGGCCCTACCTGTTGATTAACTCCTGTCGCTGCAGGCAAAGCCTCTCGTCGGTTTCACGGTGTTTTCGAGCTGTCGCCAACGTGAATCGAACAGCGGGGCTGTCCGTTATTTTCATCTTGGCAGGCATGTTACGTCGCAGCTCTGTGTAAAAGTTGCGCAGAGAGCGTAAAGCACGAGCTGTTGCGGCCATATCGTTCTAAAATGCCCCAGGCTCCCTTTAATCAACGGAATTTACCGTATGTAGCTAAGTGACCAGAACAAAAAGCGAAAATTTTACGTGCGGACAACCCTATAATATAGCATGTTATGGCAAACTCGCGGACCAGCAGTTGTGAACAATAAATAAAGAGACATGGCCAGCACTAAAATCATATGCTCGTACTTATACAATACATGAACAGAATTAAATAATTCGAGCTTTACGTTAGATACTACAATTAAGCATTATTTCTAGTGTAAAGCTTTTTTCCACACGAAATAAACTTTATCTATGGCTGGTTTCAAGCATTCACCATCTTACCTTTAGCTAAGTCTTGCGTCCTAAAACGAATTCTGTTGAGATGACGAAGCGTCAATTTCCTGCTAACCTAAACAAACATTTAATAAAATCTAACAATTCTTTGTTCGCTCAGTGTTATTGCATATAGCGAGTAATTGTCTTAAAATTTTTATCCAAAAAATTGACATTTCAATTATCTTCGGAAACTAGTTTGGAATAGAATAGAATCTCACCTATTTGTATTCTAAGATCTGAGGGTCGCTTTGCGGACGTCAGTCCCCAACGTATGAAAACGTATCTTAAACCGGCCCTGACTTGTGTGGGGCGTTAAGTGAATTCTAGTTCAATCTTGTACTTACATTAATGACAATCGCAAGCAATTCGATCACTTCACTGTTACGGACAAATTTACGTAGGTTTACGATTACTGTTGGGTCCATTTACAGAAGGTTAAGAAGAAAGCGCAGGTAGTAGCAAAGAATAATAGTAAGCTATGTTTTCCTTGAGGGATCGTCTGTTTTGAATTAAGGGCGCGCCATATATTTCCAGTTCTAGACGCGAAGAGCTGGGGACGACAATGAAGCAAAGGCGAAAAGAGACGGCGATGCATTCACTTATGGAGCTCGCAGTGAAAAATCTTGCTGTACTACGGTGATTTTCCATGATATATATGACGCAAGTATTTGATAACAAGTTAATATTAGCACGATTAGGAGCCGTAAATCTAATAGTTAGTCTACGCACCTAACGGATTTTCGACACTGTTTATAATATTACAGAGAAACGTGTCGCAAGTATATTACTAAGTGATATGTGTGACGGTCAAATGACTGTCATGATTCGATAAATACTGGCCACGATGTTTAGTAGCGTTATAGAATATGGGGAAGCTTTTTTAAGGTCGTAGTACGAATTCTGTGCAGACTGCTCTCGGTGGTGAGTCTATCTTGTCAGCGCAGATTGTGCCACCTATAGTAAAGTATTGCCCTCAAGTCCAGCCTACAGATGAAAACTATTAGAGTGGCTTTTCGAATCGAGATGCATGATGAGAGTTGCTAGTAAAAATGGCAAATAAACGTTGATGATAGAAACATCTTATTTTTTAAATGTATGTAGTAGAGTGAAAGGCCTTATCACTATCTGCTAACACCACCTACAGGCGTCTTATCTTATCAATACGTATGATATCAACATGGCGGTGGCAACAAGAAAAACGTTTTAGCCAGTTCTAAGCTTAGATGCAGCATTATGATAGCATAAATTATATTCCACACAAGCTAATTAAAAATAACCTATTCGAATATTGAAGAGTTGTGAAGACACTGATCGTGTTTACACAGAGTGGCTGTATACATTTAGCAACTTTATCAACTAAATAAACACAACTTCGTTTGCAGGACAATCTTGTAATGATAGTTTAACCCAAATCGAACAGTCCTCGATAGACACTGCTAACATTTGCTATATGTCGGCGGTATCAAGCAAGAACCTTCGAATTTGCATAGGTTTCCCAACGTTGGGGGCCCACGCGGCGGGTTGAAGATGGGTGTGACCATACAGACTTGCGGGGAAACCTGAACGAGCAGCTGGGAGCCAATTTCGTTTCCCTGAAATATACGCGTATATAAAAACAAACGTATTTGTTTTTGCTGGTACTAGTCGTAAATTTCACATCATGACTAATGCAATCTTTCTGTCAAACGTGTCTGCGTGTGTACGTGTACTCTAATTATTCTTTAATATAACGGTTTTGTAGAGCAGCATTGGAAACAAAACGGCTAGAGCGACCGACCCGAAAAAGCTTTATATTTATCGAGCTTACTGAAATTAGCTAACATAAACTAAACTGAACGCGACCATCACCGCATAACTATTATTAGTCAGTAACCGGACTTCATTTTTCCGTGCTAGTGTTTACTGCTCATTAGATTTATCGTCACTATTTACTACACGTGGCGCAGATCTAGTTTGTTAAAATCGGCAATTTAAAAAACAAAGAAACACTTTCCTTTAGCTATAGGAAATACGGTATTAGATAGTAAAATATTAGACGGCGGATGAATATTGAGCAAGATATGGATCAATGTGAGCATTAACAAGCGTATTTTAATGCTATGTTGGTATTTCGCATAGATGCATTGTTTATCAGCGAAAAATATGTACGATCAACAAAACTTACTGCGCAAATGAAAGGCCAAATAGACGACCAGAGACAAATAGGACCAGTGTTTTTAATAGTTAACTTATTTGTACCAGCTTCGACTCTTAGCTTGAACCAGCCGCTCTGTATATGAAGGGCGGTTAATGAGCAATATGTAAATTCTAATATACAGTACATTTACGAACAATAAAAGCAAATAACAAGCACTTTGCTAACTTACGATCTTCTTGGCTCCGACAGCTCTGACTTGATCGTCAGTCAAGTTCCACTTAGCTTGTAGCCAGTTACGAAGGATTCCATTGCACTGTTTGAATACAGGCTCATTTTCCATGGCTACCTCTAGTTCTGTTGGTTTACATGTTGGCACATTTGAATCCGGCAGAGCTGAACACAGGGTCACGACTGCTAATAAGATGCTCAACTTCATCATGGCTGTTAACAGCTATGGGGTTTACTCGACACGAAGTCCCTCGTGCTAATGGCTAGAACTTAAACCTGAAACCATATTTGATATTTTAACTAATCATTAAAATCACTACATTCAACATGAGAAATCTCATCAGTTGTTTAGAGATGTGTACGTAGATCTAGGTCCATAATAACTCATAATAAATAACAGGCGTTTATTTCATTTCATTATTCCTAAATGTGCACAATAATTACTCGTCCCGTTATTAAAAGGGTAAGATATTTAGTGACACATTAAAAAAGGGTTTCTGCAACTGCTGCTATTATGTGGTTAGATTCGGCATGCCTATGCTTAAATACGTATATATGTGTATATAGTGATAGCACCGGTTGATAATGAATGACCCCTGTTACCTGGATGATCTGCTCTTGAATTGTATATACTCACGAACGTACCGTGCAATTTGTTGCCTAGTCCAGTTTCGTCTATGTTTTTATAGTGCGTACGTGCCCATATTGAACGAAAGCAGCAAAGACCGGAATAGAAATGCTATTTCAAGCTCACGTGTCATACATTACACACAGTTTTTATGAACGGTTCTAGTATTATATTACTAGTAAAATGTGATTTTGTCTACGTTTAACTAAGCACCATCGTACAAACCACAGTTTCAGAAAAGGAGTGTAGGGATAAGGCTTTAAGCAGCTAAAGCATAAGCCTTCAAATATTTAGGTATAAAATAAAACCAATCAACGTTAGCTCAATTAACGTTAGATCAATTAACGTTGGCTACGCATGTGATAGCTGCATGGCCTAAATTGGTGTGCTACATACCGTTGTTGTCCTTCGGCCAACGGCGTCCTCCTAGGAAGTGCCATGAAAATGAACCGCTGAAACTGAAAAACAGCAGCGAACTCCACTTTATACAGCCACTGGCCAAGGTTGAACGCTCTAAATGGAACCCTCGACTGTGATCGCCTGTTTCACACGAAGCAGCACGAAATACGATTTGTATTTGATTGCGTTAATCTCTATATGGGATGTATCTTCTAGTGATAGATCTTATTCTAATTAGGCTATCAACACGTACGTAAAATATAAGTATAGAAGTGGTAGATCTGCAAAAGAACCTAATAAACTAAAGTGATATAGACACATAGGACTGGGGAGTTTTTTTTTCTGTCTATTCTTTTGAATTTCTGCATAACGGGTCGTTTTGTCTAATCAGTCTTTATCAGCTTTCGTTTGAGTGGATTTATTTCATACAATTGGATTATGGTATTTATTATTATCGAGTTTTCTAAATAAGCTTGTTTCGTTGGGACATGTTACGCATGTACGCGAGCTAGCGAATTTGCGCCAGCCAACACGAACTAATTTCGAATGACTTGATCAACAGCAGTATAGTCCGCACAGAACCAGACGTAAGCTCTTTCACAAATCTCGATTTACTATACGCTGCCGTAAGTTACTCTTTCCCATCGTTGAAAATTGCCGTCGAGAGAGAGAGACGCCATCTCAGTTCATTCTTTTCGAGTGGCGCGTTTCCTCTAGGATCATGTTTGCGCAAAGAAGCAGTACGGCTCTTTGTAGTTGCGTACCCGAACATACTCGAATTTGTTGCGCCACTTTTGACGACATTTCGAAATAGTTCCGCACGTGTGATAAATTCGAAGGAACTATTATTTAGAGCATCTCGATTTGATTAGTTTAAGCAACAAGTCCATAAAAATACGAAGGAAGTCGTTACGGAGCTTTTATGGGATTAACAATAGCTGGATATATATATATATATGTATTGATGAATACGATCACACTGTATCAGGTAATCGTCGAAATAAACATATTGAAGGAAAAAGAACTGACTGAGTAACGCGAGTGGATCAAACCTGACACCTTTTGAAACTGATTTACCGCCTCCAGGGCCATAACATATGCGTGACCTCTATAAAATAATAAATTATATTATTACTTCTGTTTTTCTGTCTTTCTCTACGGGTATCTATAAATGTTGTAGTTCTTTTCACAATACTGAGTTAATTAGTGCATTTCTTGTCCCTTAAATTGGCCTCATTAACATGGCGTCCTAAAGGAAAGTATCTAAAAATGAAGTAATTGACAGTACCTGATAAAGTGGCATGCGTATGTTTGTCGTATTACATATCAGCCTGCTACCTGAAGCCCTTTAAAAAAGGCTCGACAAGAGAAACCTGTCAGGTGTGCATTACACCTTATTATAATGTGCCACGTGTGTCATCATCCTACTTACGATATCCTGTGAGAAATTGTTTTTCGTTAATACGTACTTTGATTAATACCGTCTGTGAGGTAACTTTTCTAATCTATGCGAGAGGTTTTGATTTGATCGACCATTCCACAGAGTGAGAGGAACATTTATTCACGAATCAGTAGTATGTGCATCTGCGTGCTATACTGTGTTATCAGCAGAGTATGTAAACATCTGTACATGACATAATAAGAGTATAGTAATTATTTGAGAAAGGCCGTTGTATAGAATAAATAACCAAACCCAATAGATATTTGAATGAGGAAACTCATAATATAGTGTATGTCTAAAATGCATATGTTGTTTACATATCGTGAATTAAAAGGTTTGCCAAAAAATTTCAAAGATGCATGACTTTACCTTTTTTGTTTTTTTGTGACTAGGCTTATTTTTATTTTCAAAAATATTAGATAGTGCTGGATGATCCTTTTTAATACTGACAGGACAACACAATATGGCTGACCTATTAGTAGTAAGTTCCACTAATTTGAAGGTAAAACATTTATTTAGTGCATATGTTTTACTACGGGCATCAGTAGATCTTTTACCTGTCTATTTGGGCAGAATAACTATGTGTGCCGCTAAAACTTTGTATA